CTTTCTCCTGCAATTTAGTAGACATGCACAATACAATGCAGAAGTTGCATGATGAGATCTGTTGAAGTGAAAAGGTAGAGGAGCTCATGAGCACCTTTCAGGATGGAGATGGAGATGGTAGCTCTGGATCACAGGACAAAAGAGTCGGAAGGACCAGGAAGGCTATCAGCTTGCAACCCCTGCTGTTGCAGATCACCAATTTACACAATTCCACTCAGATGGCTGTCCGGGGTCACCTTGAATGTCTCCAATGTGAGATAGGCCACCACCTCTCTAGGTTCCACTGCAGCAGGTTCCACTGTCAGTCGGTATGACAGTGAGGAAGCTTTTCCTGATGTCTAGCCTGAATCTGGGTTGTCACAACTTGACTTGATTATTCTGTGTCCTATAACCTGGTCCGAGCAAGAAGAGATCTGGACCTTCCTCTTTGTGACAGCCTTTGAGATAACTGCAAATGGATATTTTGCCTGCCCCCTCAGTGTTCCCTTCTCAAAGCTGAGCATGTGATTTGAGCTCTGGGACAAAGATGACCAAGCACTGATGGGGCACATGATCACTCCCTCTGTAAGGCTGCAGTGATAGCAAATAATGTCTACATAAGGGCAACCATGTAGGCTTTCTGTAGATGGGTTTGACTTGGGCCTGGGTGCATCTAAATGTGCGGCTCATACCTCAGGAGTCCGGGCAGCAAGGACTTCCTGTTCCCACCCACAAATAGATAGGCTGCTTGACTGCAGGAATTACAACCTGAATTTGATCCCTCAGATGGTTGCTTTGGACAAACCTCAAACAGAGGATGACATTTCCTTGGGCAGGAAACACTGATCCTGCGCTGCAAGAAAGACTTCCACCCACCTCCAGCAGCTTGCCGCTCCATCGCACTGGAGGAAAGGGCCGCCGCGTGTGCACGCAGATGCTGGCAGACGTGCGCAGCCTTGACGTCAACAGAAGCCAGCTCCAGCGGCCAGTGCAGGTGACTTGCCCGCCGGCCCAGGTGATCGGGGGCGTGTGGTGCGCGACGGGGTGGGACTCGGAGGTGCCCTGTGGACACAAACCAGCCGCGGCGGCCGGGGCCGGCGGCCGAAGGGTGGTGGCCAAAGGGGGTCGCCGCCATTTGGGTACCGTTCGGGGGACGAGATGGGGGCTGGGCTGGCCATGGACTCTTGTTGAAATAGGCTTGCCTACTGCTGAATCTTAGGGAAGGGGAAGGATTTTTTTTCTTTTCTTTTTCTATCGTTCTTTTTTTTCTCCTCTTTTGAACTGCTT